CCGTTCCCGCCCCTGCCGCTCATTCCTGTCCGGACGCACCTGCAGCTCCCCGGGGAGAAGAGGACGCCCCCCCTCCGCTCCCCCACACAGGTGCCGGCGCGGGGCGGGGGCGTCTTGAGCTGTCACCTCGCCCCAGAGGCCAGACCTCTCCCGGCGGGGATGCTGTGACGGCGGACACTCTGGGAAGGAGCTGGGGGTGGGGCTCTGCGAGCTCCGGGCGGACCCTGGCCTTGGATTCCGGGGAGAAGGTTGCATCCAGAGGCTGGGAAAGGGGAGGGTCTTTGGGTCTCCTGACCGATGCTTCTCCGCTCCAGGTTTGCGCCCCAAAGGACCCGTGCCCCAAGCCCCCGCGCCGCCCCTAGGCCCGCCCGGAGCATGCTGCCTGCAGCCATGAAGGGCCTCGGTCTGGCGCTGCTGGCCGTCCTGCTGTGCTCCGCGCCCGGTGAGTAGGGGGCCCGCGGGCTGGGTCAGGTGCGTGGGAGAGCCCGAGGCGCCGCGGGAGAGCCGGGTGTGGGGCCGTCACCCTCTGACGGTTCCCACCGCACTTCCCATAGAGCCCACGCCCCCTCCGGGACCCCAGGGACCCCAGCCCGGCCCTCGGCCCCTCTGTCCTGGCACTGGGCTCTCTCCAGTGCTCTTCCTCCAGGGCCTGGAACTGGTGGGCGGCTGGCCCCGCACGGAAGCCCCTGGTCATCCGTCACCTCTGAGAGCCTCCCGGACCTCCTTTCAAATCCAGTTTGGTCCTTCACAGCTTGGAGCCCACAGAACTCCTGGGGGATATGTGAAGCAGGGTGGGAGTGGGAGGGTGGCACGGTCGGTGTGGGGTCTGTATAGCCCGTGTGTGTGTGTGTGTACGCACGTGCATGGGTGCCAGGGAGGGGCCATAGGGGCTCCCCTCAAACTGCTAGGATGGGGCACAGTTGTTCCAGGGCCTCTGCTCCCCCTCCAGGGGTCATGAGGGCCTGCTCACTCCTGTGGGGTAGGGCTCTCCCAGGAGTGCCTGCAGCAGGGGGATGGGTGAGGGACTCAGGGGGTTGCCTGGGTTTGGGCCAAGTGCCTCTGGTCACCCTCCTCCCCATGCCCTGCCCAGCTCATGGCCTGTGGTGCCAGGACTGCACCCTGACCACCAACTCCAGCCATTGCACCCCAAAGCAGTGCCAGCCGTCCGACACGGTGTGTGCCAGTGTCCGAATCACTGATCCCAGCAGCAGTAAGTTGGGACTTAGGGTAGTGGGGAATGTGCTGAAAGCCAGGCTCTTGGGAGAGGTCAGAGGTGTCCTCTGAGCCCCTTTGGCCTGGGACAAGAGCGAGAGCATGGGGCTACGGGCGGGATACTGCCCCGCTGTCGCTCCCTGGCTCCTTGGTGGCCTTTTCCATCTAGTTGGGGCCAGCGTGGGAGGGTGGAGGGACTCGACTCTGCCTATCTGGGGCCCCGAGCTGACCCGGAGGGGCCTGGGCTGGGTCCTCGGGAGAAGGCAGAGAGGGCCCAGGAGGAGCCCCCGTCGCAGGCCGTGCTTTCTCTTCCCAGGCAGGAAGGATCACTCGGTGAACAAGATGTGTGCCTCCTCCTGCGACTTCGTTAAGCGACACTTTTTCTCAGACTATCTGATGGGGTTTATTAACTCTGGAATCTTAAAAGTCGACGTGGACTGCTGCGAGAAGGATTTGTGCAATGGGGTGGCCGGGGCAGGGCATAGCCCCTGGGCCCTGGCCGGGGGGCTCCTGCTCAGCCTGGGGCCCGCCCTCCTCTGGGCTGGGCCCTGAGGTCTCCTCCTTCCCACGGGGCTTCTGAGCTTGCTCCCCTGAGCCTGTGGCTGCCCCCTCCCCAGCCTGGCATGGCTGGGGCTGGGGGCAGCCTTGGCCCAGCTCCGTGGCTGTGGCCTGTGGCTCTCATTCCTCCCCCAACATGAAGCCTCCCTGTCTCTCTGCCAGCTCTGAGTCCCGGGCAGCTGGACATCTCCAGGAAACCAGGCCATCTGGGCGGGAGGCCTGGGGATGAGGGTGGGGGGACCCCCAGGTCCCAGAGGGGAAGTGAAGCAACAGCCCAGCTGGAAGGGCGTCTTCTACAGAGAAATAAAGTCACTTTTGAGTCCTGAGACCCGGGTCTGAGCCTGGGTGTCGGGGGCGGGAAAGGGGTCCTGGCAGAGAGCTGGGAATGAGGTGCTGAGGGATCTGAGGGGCTGAGGACAGGGCGGGCGCTCAGCCATGGTCTCGGGCTCTTGGGCTCAGGGCACTGGGGTGGTGGGTGCTTGTGCTGGGGCTGCTTGGTCCTGGTGAGGTTCAGGAGCCCTTGGGGTGATGGGGTGAGAGCTGAGATGAGCAAGATCACAGGGTGGGCTTGGGGGAAGATGCCGGAATCCTGTGAGCACACCACAGACACCAGACACGCCCACAAACGGTGGTGCCCACGCAGCCAGCATGTGCACACACACCCATGCCCGGCCTGCTCACTCCTTCACACAAGCAAACCCCAGGTGTCCTGCGCACATGTGCTGGGGCATGCACGTAACTGGCACAAATTGGTGTGTCCTGGTGCACGTGTGCATGCCCACATGCAAATGCCCATGTCTGTGCACACCCACCCTCGTACACTCAGCGTGCAGTGCACATGGGGCCCTCGCAGACTCACGGATGAGACCATGCATGCTGGGCTTCTCTTGCCCCCCACCTCGGCTGTCTCTGCCCCTGGGGGCTGCTTCAGGCCGAGTGGAGCCCACCTGTTCCATCACCCTGCCTCTTTGCTGCACATCCACTCCGGCCACTCCTGGCTCTGAGTTGGGCTCCTGAGGTCAGTCCCTGTGACCAGGGGTTGAGGAAGCCCACCCATCTCTCTGGGCTGGTCCAGAGGGACTGGATGCCGTGGGGTGAGGGGGCAGGGAGGACTCGGCCTGGGAAATGTTGGAGTGATGTCCTGATCCTTCCCGCTCCAGTTTCAGCCCTGCACCCCCGCATCCAGCCCAGCCTCCCACACCCACCGGCCACCACACTGGATGCTCCACCAGCAGCTCGTCTCACGGCCCAGGCTCAACACACAGCGCTTGGCAGGCAACACAGGGTTTCTCTGAGGCCTGGGCTCTGGCCACTGCTGCTTCATGCCACCTGTGGCTGACCGAGTCTCCTGGCCACTGATGGGTCCTGGACTCCTTAGGGAAAGCGGTGGTTCCTATAAGGGCTGGCCTTGCATGAGGGATGGCGAGAAATTGGGTCCAGGGCTAGTGAGCCAGAAAGAGAGAGAGGAGGCCTGAGGTCCTGGGCATTGGCGCCGATTCCCTGCTGGACACGGCCGAGGGGCTTTTCTGTAGAAGGCTGTCTGCTCTGTGATGCACCCTCGCCCCTGCCCCACCCCTCAGTAAAGTGTGCTGCTGTTGCTTGTGCCTGGTGTTTTGGGGGCTGGGGGACTGCAGAGAAGCTGAGAATTCCCAGCAGGTAGGAAGCCCTGAAGCAATGGAACCCCCCAGGGAAGCCTTAGCCAGCTAGGGAGGCCGTGGACAGGCCTCCCACAGGGGTGAGGCTTGAGCCAGTTTTCTTTTTTTTTTTTTTTTTGAGACGGAGTCTTGCTCTGTCCCCCAGGCTGGAGTGTAGTGGCGGGATCTCGGCTCACTGCAAGCTCCGCCTCCCAGGATCACACCATTCTCCTGCCTCAGCCTCCTGAGTAGCTGGGACTACAGGCGCCTGCCACCGCACCCGGCTAATTTTTTTTGTATTTTTAGTAGAGACAAGGTTTCACCATGGTCTTGATTTTCTGACCTTGTGATCCGCCCGCCTCGGCCTCCCAAAGTGCTGGGATTACAGGCGTGAGCCACCGTGCCCGGCAAGCCAGTTTTCATATACATCTTTGTATGCTGAATTTATTATTTGAAAGAGATATTTAAAGGCACAAAAAGGAGTGAAATGCTCCCACCTCCTTAAATAATCATATACAATCAGAAGGGCACGCCCTCACCTCTCCCCCGCTTCCCACCCTGAGGGGCTGCCAGGGCGGGACAGGCAGGAAGCCGGCCGGCTCCCAAGCTGCCGCCGGCACTGGCTAAGTCGGTCTCCCCATCTCGGAAGGAGTTCAAGTGTGTGGTCCCCACCTGACGAGCTGTCTTCGAAGGGCTGAACTTCTCCGTCGGCATGAAGCCCTTGGTCTGGCGGGGCACGTGGACGGTGCTGAGACATCGATCTGCTACCAGCCCTTTCTACTGAGCAATTCACCGGCGACGTCACCCCAGGGCCCCGTGTCCAGGTTGACCGGCTTTAACGTCTGCTTGGGGTCCCCCGGATGAGGGAGCCGTGCATTTGTAACCGTCCCTTATCGGTGGGTGTAGGGGTTTGTTCTCAAATGTCTATTGTCAGCAACACTGAAGTGACCGCCCTTGTCCTCAAACCTCCGTGGGCTCAAGTGGTGATGGGTGTGGGATGGATGCCGAGAAGGGAGCGGAAATCTGATGAAGTTGCCGCTTCTGAAGGTTCCAGACACACTTACTAGCAATGAGCGTTCTTCAGCTTCAGGAACGTTTTGCCCACCTCGTGGACAAAGAGACTCTCCACGTCCTCTGTGGCAGCCACGTGTGCTTCTCCTCTCTTGCCTGATCACACCCTTTGCCTATGCTCCTTGTCTTTGTTGCTTGTCTTTGTCCTACTGACTCTCACCGCCCTTTTGTATATTCTGTGGACACGAATCTTCCCTGCGTTATACGTCCTGTGGATATTTCCTTGCTGTCTGTTGCTTGTGTCTCGTTTGTGGTGTTTGCAGTGTGCATTTATGGATGTTTTAACGTTGGATGCAGTCAAATCTGTCTAATTGTTCTTTTGTGGTGTGGGGGCTTCATGTCTTAGGAGAATTTCCTCTACCTTTATCTTATGAAAAGAGTTCCTTATTTTCTTCTAATATGTTTACAGATTTGGTTACTGTGCGCAGACAGCCAGTGCATCTGGAGTTCATTACAGTGTAGCAGGAGGTAGGAGGTTCTTCCAAATGGCCACTTTTCCTCCATGTCATTTATTAAATAACCCGGCTTTCGCCTGTTGATCTGAGATACCACCTTTATAATAGAATGCCTTCCCACATGTGGCAGGCTGTTTCCGAGCCGCTGCCCACTGGGATTGCACTGGCTGGTTCGTCACGGGTCATTTCGATGTGATGCCGCTTCAATGATGGTAGCTGGACGGCGTGTTTGACACTTGCTAAGGCAAGGGTCCCACGTTATTCTTTTTAAACACTTACTGCTACTTCTCACATCGTATCCTTACAGATGGGTTTTGGGATCCATTTTTCCGGTTGCAGAAAATGCTAACACTGTTAGCACTTCAGCGGGACTGTCTCTTGCATGTGTGGCTGGGGGAGCTGCGGTCTTGGCTGCTTCAAGTCTCCCGCTCGGCCGCTCGGTGTCCGGCCTCTTCACTCGGCCTCCTGAGCGATGCCCCACTGAGTGGGACTGAGTGATGGGCTGTGCTCCTTCCTTGATGTACTTATTACTGGGTAATTTATGGTTTTTCGATGTTGCAAATGGGATTTCCCTTCTTACCTTTACATTTAACCCGCCATTGTTGGTGTGATGAGTGGATGCTTTTTATTTTCTCGTGATTTCTCTTTGAAAGTCTTCCACTCTGTTGAAGCAGGTGAACTGGGCCTGCTTGCTGCCTGACAGGAGGGGCTGATAGGACAGAACACCGAGGTCCCCCGTACCCCTGGCCTGGTACTTCCAGAAGCCTGACCCACCTGGCTGTGGGCCTCTCGGAGACAGACAGTGAGATAGAGGGAGGAGTCTGAGGAGGAACCTTTCAGAACATCTCAAGACTCTCCCAAGTTAAGAAAAATCACGCTTTAAAGGATGGAAGTTAGTTTTATTCAGAAGCCTTGCTGAAGTTTGCAACCCAGGGGTCTTTCCTAGCGTTTCTAGGAGGCTGCTCCAGAGCTGTTCCAGCCCACAATCCGCGTGTGGGCAGCGGCTCTGCACGTGCCCAGGCGTGACAGTGGGGCAGAGCCTCAGGGCTGGGTGTGAGGCTGCATCTGGCCACGGATCCTAGGGGCATAATAGAAAATCCTGTCAACATTGTCTTTCATGCGGGAAGAAGCAAGAGTCAGGATCATTGAATTCGTCTTTCTAAAAACGCCGTGACTCAGGCAGGAGAATAGGGACCCAGTCCGCAGCCCGCTCATGGCCTCCGGGGCACCCTTCCACAAGCTGCACCCAGTCCCGAGTCAGGGGCTCGGGAAATCCTGCCTACAGGCAGGATGCACACACAGCTTCCTACATTTCCTACTTTGTCTCACAACACAGAGCGGGAGGGAGGCACTACCCTCCAACCAGGATGAGAGACCCCCTGGCCCAAGCAGGGGAAGGGGAGCTGCTGAGGGCTGAGGCTGGGATGAGTCCCAGAGAGGTGGCACTGGCATCCTGGGCAGCAATCCCAGAGCACCAAGACCTCAGAGTGGCCCCGGGTGAAGGTGGTCAGGGCAGGTGGGTCCCTGGCAGCTTCAGAACCAACAGAGGATGGGGTTAGGATGCAGACAAGGGAGAAGCCATTTGGTGGCAGCCGGTGTGCATCGGGCATTAGCCAAGGGCTGAAGGCCCAGGGCCCAGGGGTGTCTCCACAAACACCCTGTGTGGACAGATTTGCCATCCTGCTGCCCACAGCCCCACACAGACACAGCCCTGGGCAAGAAGGCATGGGGGGTTGCAGTCACTACAACTACGTCCCTGCCAGCCAGTAGGGTGGAGAGGTCTAGGAATAGAAATTGTAGGAATAGTAAAGTCGTGTTTCTCGTTCAGCTGTTTGTGGGCTGTGCTCCACTACCCAAGTGTCCCCTGGCCGCCCAGGCCAGCATCCACCAGAGTGAGTTTAAGCAGAGGGCTTCGCAGGGGGTTTGCAGGGAGGGCTGGGGCCTCTGGCTGCAGGCATGGCCTCTGGGAAAGACCCAGAGCTGGCCTGGCTGGTACGGCCACTGGCCCTGGAGCAGCATGCTGCCCCTGCCCCTGCCCCTGTCCAGGGAAGGAGGCCTGCACCCCACCTCCATAGCTCTCCTTAGGAGTTCTGCCTGGATGTGTCTCCCCGGCAGAGATGAAGTCGCATAGCTACACCCTAGGGCCTGGGAGGTGGCACGATGTAGTT